GGGTCCTAGGGAGCATATTCACACCGCACGTCTTGATTCGCCAAGAGCAACTGTTTCCCTCTGACCATGCCCCAGAGTTTCTGGGATTGTCAGGTCTTAAGACTCACTGGGTCGGTACTAGATCAAGCTACTGGTCCGTACTAGCTCAATAGTCAGGCATGTAGCAAAGATCTTGTAGGAGTACGTCACCTGGGGAAGCCCTCAAATTTACGTCTTACCATGTAGTCGTGAAGACCAAGCTGCTACAACAAGCCCTGCCAGGCAAAACTCCTGAACCATATGCCCCAGGGCACTAGCTTGCTACGCTTTCCATCCCACTCCTGCTCACTCTTCAGCTCAACTTGCCTCTGCTTTGGAGTTGCCATCCTGAACGTAACTGAGAGGTTCTCAGAACAGGGACACCGGGTATTTAGGATTTGATTCTGCTGGTACGATATTGGGAATCTTCATCTGGTGGCTTAAGAAGACAAGGAATTCGCACAAGAACATGCTAGGTCTGAGAATTCGGCACCTTGAAGCACAAGATCGTCAATCATGTGCACACTTGTTTTGGAACTGCACAGAAAACGCGCTACTAGTTGCGAAGGTCCAAGTAGCGCTACAAGTGCCGTCCGCCACGGGTCGATAGCTCCTGCGGTCCCACATGCAGAGTGGTGCGCTGATTGTGGTGCTAATGTAATGATAGCAGGAGCCGGAGCCAGATAGTTATTATCAGGACATCCAAAAAAGTTCCCCTGATTTTGGGAACCTCCACACGGACTCAGAAAGGAGGGCTCTACTTGCAACGCTGCATTCCCTAGCCTTAAGGAGATTTCCCATCATGCGCTGATGGTTGGCACAGTCCCCAACTGTAGAAAAGATGGCCACAGATTTTCCAGGTGAGAATTGCGCGCGCGCAACGCAGAAGTTTTTTTGAGCTCGAGGGCTTTATGCAGTGACCTGCTGATAGTATGGGTGCAAACAATTGACTTCTAGATGCCGGCCCTGCTTGCATCTCTCAAACAAATATCGAAAACCATATGAAGAACCCTTTCAAGAAATCCTTCATCCCTGTATAACCTCTATATAATCGCTGTATGTTCCATTTTCTTTTCCATTATCCCGATATAACCGCAATATTGCCCCAATGGGTTCTGGACTCGATTTCAGCTTTTGAGCCGATGCGGCATGTATGAGAAGGACGCCATTACTACACGCACCGGGGACAGAAGTGCGCTGTCCTTTTCATACAGATGGCCGACGCCTAAATGCAGTAGTGGGGTGAAAGACTCTAGCTTCCATCGCCGAGCTCAAGAAGTAAAGCCCTGAAGTCGCGCCCAATACTCAATGTGAAATGGTTGTTCTATATATATATATTGTGATTGTTCTGGTCCTTGTGCCCCAAGCCCCGAAGAAATAAAAGCAAGATCGCGGTCTCCTAGACCTCGGGCATCGAGACAGCCGGTCTTGGCCTTGTCACCTGAGGCACTGACAGAAGAATGTAAGCGGACCTTTATGAAGACATGAAATTGGTGCAATCATCATGTTACGGTGATACTGGCCTGTGAGCTTGATGACCACCACCAGCAACACCAGCCCAATCATGACTACTGCCAGTCCCGAGAACGGCTCTGGCATTATGGTCCTATAAACCGACACAACCATCATCAAGATCCCCGCAATCATCACGCTGACCGTTATCTAAATTATATTTAGTATAGTCTTCTTGAGCTCGTGTTTCGTTGGTCATGGAAATGCCACACTGGGAAGATCCCATGTTGGAACCTACAGCGTACAGTAAAGGAGTTATCAGCGGGCATGCATCTGCTACACCAGTCCAGACTTGAAGCCTCCTTACTGGCCATGTGCGCCTTCAAAAGGCAACAAAGGGCACCTTGGTACCACTAAGGATGCAGAACAAATAAATCAAACAAGTGAGGAACGCTGACCCACTGAAGTAGGGAAAAGGCTGAAAACCAACCCTGTCAAAGCTTGACCGTTCCAAATCTAGGCCGTCAGAATCAATGAAAGAGTGCAGTCACACTGCAACTCGTAAAGCCAGTATATGCGCATGAGTCTTTTGCCCGTGTACAAGTCCAGTGCAAGCGGCATGTGGCGATCAAAAAACCACTCTTCGAGCGGGCATTGGCCACCTTGGGAAGTCATGAACATGGGGATGGGCATTTCCTTGGTTAAGGCCCGATCCTCAGCCCAAGGGCAACGGGTACAGTCAGCTAACCTCACACGGAGGTTGGGTCTCATTTTTCGGATGTAAGAACTACATGAATGGCATCAACTATCGTGGGCTGCAGCTTCCATAGACCATAAACACTATATGCCATTGAGCATCCCCACCCTAACATTCACCAGAACGCCTTTTACAAACTTCAGGTCCGGGACACGTTGCGACAAGCCTCCAGAAGTGCTTAATTGAAAAGGCACTGTACAAGCACGCTGCATTTGCACGCTTCAGGTCCTCTACGATACTGCAGGCCCATGATTAATAAACCACCTCCTTTGAAAGGCCTTAATATTATTATACTCCCTATTAAAGGAAGGGGGTTTATGAATCAGGGGTCTACATAACCTATCAGAACTCGTCGCAGCTTGCTACGCTTGAGGTTCACATAGCCCTCACAAGGGAAAGTATATGCCACCATCACGGCCTGTCCGTCCACCTTTAGCATGAAATGAGCGGCAAACCTTAAACCCTAAATGGTAGTTTCCATCCTCTTTTCCATTATCCCAATATTATCCCTATACAACCCCAACATTAAGCCTGCAACGGCTTCTCAACCTAGAAGCCCTGAGTTACCTCCCCCCCCAAAACAGCCGGAGCTCCGCTCAGGGGTCACTTCCAGGGTAAGAAAGACCAGTCACCCCAAGAGCATGTGAGATCAAGACCAGACTAGGTATGTTCTATGCAGTCTATACCACCATACAGTGTTTACAGAATGCTTTGTACTCACATGTGTAGAAATCATGTCAAACATGTTTTTAAGCATGCGTGCAAGTTAAAAGAAAGCCCTCCGTCTAGGCATCTGGCGTAGATACGCTCCGTCTCCATGTGGTTGAGGACCCGGGACTGCAGGTTCTCATTCAAGGAGGCAAAAACCGTGATGGCACCTAACAACTGGTGATGGACGATTGTATGTAGTGTTTTTTGTGTTGATACTGCAGGGCTGTGGGCGCTTTGCAATTTGGGTTTGCGGGGCTTGTGTTTCGTTGCTATTCACAGCTTTGGGATGAACTCGAAATCGGAATCACCTGCACATTTACCCAGGAGGTGAAAATCCACGAGTGCTTGTTAGATGTACCCACCTCATGAGCTGTAGTTTAAACTCCTAGTATCCCCCCTAATAACCCCCATAGTAGTCCCCTAATTATAGAACCCCCTTTACGGAGTTTGCCAGGGATGCCTGCACAAGATCCAATGTCTGGTGGCGGTGCTGCGGCGCGGGCTTTCTTCTGCTAGATTCGACTTGCAAGGGTGGCAAGGATTGTCATGAAGGCGTATGCCCCGCAACTCTAACCATAGCCGCGATAGCCCAAAGCACGCTGTCGACTGCTGCCAGGAAACGGAGATCAAGGTCGCCTTCCTTTAGCAGGCCTTCCTCGAACAGCTTCTCAAGACCTGCGCAGCTGACTTAATTCAAATGGGAGTATTAAATGAAACAAAACAAGACCCCAGGAAACTTCTTTGTGAACCGACCGTGGGGTGGAAGAATGGCCAAGGGATTTTTTGGGAGACTCTGGGCTTTGTGTAAGGCTTGCGGCTCAGCATGCTGTGAGCGAGGTCAGTCTAAGTTCTTGCGAACACACTCCTGCGCAAAGGACGATGTACGAGTTTGCTGGCTGGGACGGCAGGAGTCGTTATGAAGGCCGGTGTACCATTCACGTCATAGAGTTGCAGGAGCTCTGGATACCGTGATAATTGCATCACGATATGGCACAGCGGGTTGGCCCTCAAGGACGTTCTATACATCAAGTTAAAAGGTGGCAACCCTCCTAGGCCCACTAACTGACACACTTCTGACGGTCCCTAGGAGCGCGCAGTAGTAGCATGAGCACTCGCCCCGGGTGGGGCTGCCAGTCAGAATTATGACTGGAACCTTCGTCCGAACCTGCTCTAAGGATTTCCTCAAAATTTGGAGCACAGCTCAAAAGGTGGGTCTGGGGAACTGAAGCTGTCGCTCCCTCTTCCTGTACCTCCCAGGGTATGCAGGGGCTAGGCAATTCCTTCCAAGAATTCGGCAGGATTCCTTTCATGCATCTGTTCTGCAGCTGACAAGGACTGGTTGCCAGCGTCGATTCGTCTGAAGGCTTGGTTGATGACTGTACTTGATCGCCATCTATCTTCACTGCAAGCACGTGAGGGATTCAGACAGCGCCAAGGTCCGAATTGGGCCTGTTTTCTGTTCGCCCCTGCACTCTAAGTTCTCGCGCCTCTCCCTGTGCTGATCAGAACTACCAGGCCTTACAACCCATGTCAGACAAGGACGATGGGCATTTTGGGTTCCGCCGAGGACTGCGGATGGCTCAGACCCTATCTAATGAATCCTGAATCCCCAAACACAAATCCCCAAACTACCAATACCCACCCAATTTCAGGTCTGGCGGCGTTCGCGGATGTCTGTTGGCAGCTGCTTGATGGCGACGGCAACAATTTCCTGCTCGCCTTGGCAACAGAGCTCCCAACAAAGCTTCTTGGTCCAATCGTAGCCCAGCGCAAAAGGCAAGATGTTGTTCTTCATGACTCAGCGGTAACCTGTGACCCAAAAAGGAAAGTAACGCAAACTGTCGCATCCTGCAACCTGGGCTTCGGGAAAACTGAATATCATTTTATTATTGCTCATGAAGACAGCCTGCGGACCTTTTTTGCTGGGAAGCCAAGGCCAAAGACCCCTGGTACTGGACCTCAAGGCCCAAAACATCCCAGAACCAGCCGTCCAAAACTGAAATCTTGCCACAGCCCCACATGTTAGACTCTAAAACCCTAAACCAAAAAACATCAAATTGCATTTGCCTGAGAACCCTAAACCCAAATCCCGCGCATTATAGGGATCTCCAAAACCTTAGTTTCCGAGGCGCTGTTGCCTGCCTTGGCGGCCGAGGCAACGTCCTTGGGGCCATCGCGAGATCGTGATCCTCAGTGCCCATGGACCATGCATAACCCTGAAGATCCAAATGCTTCAATGTAATCAGGTAATATTTGCAGACTTTAGGATCAGATTTACAACTTTAGGACCCAATTTAGGTTTTATTTGTATACTTGGATCCCTAGGGTAATGTATATAGGGTTTAGGGGTCACTGCCCATGGGCAACTCTCTGGCGCTTAGTGGCTTCATTGGTGCTGGATGTGGAGTGTAGACATGAAAAAAGGATCTACCATAAAGACCCGATGAAGTCAACAACTCCAAACAAAAAACGGAAGTAATGCCATTTTGGTACCATCCTTTTCTTGAAGCCACGGTTGGTATGAGGTCGACTTACTTTGCTAAAGTCTGTCTTGCCCTAGGGAGTACTTGAAGGGTCAGGAGGCTTTGTACATCTTAGCAAGCATACGTATACTCCGTGCAAGGCATAGTCTTACTGATTCTTTGTAGGCAATAAGGGAATGTGTTCCACATATAGTCCCTTATTCAAGTAAGCATCTCTTCTGTTATTGCCATGAGCAACCTACGTGCTCTACGCCCCTAAACCCTTCAACCCTACAATCTAGACCCTAAGACAATCCCAGTGTTCATGTTTTTTTTCCACTTTTGCTTCTGCATTGCATTTTCCAGTATCGCTATCCATGAAGGAGCAGATCCCTATAGCAATTCCGCCTAAAACTCAAACCCTAAATCATCTTCTACAATAGTCCCGAGAACCAGTTCACTCCCAAATCCCCTGCAGTCTTGCCGTGGGAAGTAGATCGGGATCTCATAATGCTCTTGTTACCTCGTATAAATCCTCATAGAGCCCCCAAACGCAAAGTTTCGATTTGATCTTCCGTTCCACACATACTATATACCCTGATTCCTAAAATTCCCCCACACTCACTTAACATTGAATTTTCCCATTGTGGTCTATAATGGTATATTCGGAATGTTTTATAGTAGGGGGGTGGTTTTAATATGGATTAGTGTCCATTTTCTTTTCCATCCCTTCACCAGTAACCGGCCTTTGGTCAGGTAGGAATGATGGAATGGATCCTTATAGAAGTCCCCATATAAATAACCCATTATAGTAGCTTCCATTATCTTGTCCATTCCCCCTGAACCTTGCGCCCTAAACTCTAAGTAGGAGTCCCAATCTTCTTTTCCGTTCCTTCATTCCCAGCTAGCCTACACCTTAAACCCTAAACTCTAAATAGTAGTTTCCATCTTCTTTTCATTTCCTCCATTCCCAGCTAACCTAAACCTTAAACCCTAAACTCTAAACAGCAGTTTCCATCTTATTTCCTATTCCTTCATTCCCAGCCAAGCAACGGCTTCGGTCCCCCATGGCAGCAGGTCGGGCCCCTTACCCTAAGTGTCTTGAGGCCAAAGTGCTGCATTTGCTAGTTCATGGCCTGTGTAAGGGGGGTAGGGCTTACAGGTTTTCGGGGGCAGCGTTTTATGTTGTTTGTATTTCTAGTTTGGGGGGTGAGGGGACTGGTCGCCCCTGAAACCTCTGGAAGCAATTCCGCTCCTGTTTATCATCACAAGTTGAATCTTAGCCCACATTACCCTAGGAAGAAAAAAGGATCCTTTTTACATAAATATAAGGAATCCCATACCCCAAAAAGTATAAAGGATCCTTAACATTGATCCAGGAATAGTCCTTGTCAGAAGCCCTTCAAGCTCATGGGACGCACCGTCAACAAAGGCTTCGGGTAGTTTCCATGGATTCACGCTTAAAAGGAGCTGTGCTTCTTCAAAGTTGGGCCCCACAAAGAGCAAACACGACTTATGCTCGCAGTTTCATGGCAGTTCACCTGCTACATGAAGTCTGTCTGCACTCACCAAGCCATGATTCCAAAGTAAATAATAGTTTCCACTTTTATTGCCATTATCAACATACAACCCTAAATCATCCCTATCTAGCCCCAACCCAAAACCTAAACCATAAGCCCTAAGATTCCAAAGTTGTCAGTGTTCCAGGCCTTGAGCAGGCAGATATCGCTGCACTGTAGGTCACCTGGGCGGCTTTCTCGCCAGGGCGTCCCCCAGGGTTTGGGCAGGGGCACCCATTCCGGGCCCTTCCATTCGCAAGGCTCTGGCCCTAAACCCCAAACCCTAAACCGAAAACCCTAAACCTTATTACCCCAAACAATAAATAACTGCAGCAATGAAGTTGTGGGATTTGGGTTCAGCACCTGGTAGGAGCCTCTTGTTACTCGGGCCCTGCTTCTTTTCACACGGAGTAAGCCGTTGCTGAAACGCTGAAATCTTTCCCACTTGCTTAAGACCCCTCACCCCTCCATCTACACCACTAGATGGGTTGTCGTTTTTGTCTAAAGATGCGCACGCTTCTTTTCAGAAAGGTAAGTGGCTGTTAAGTCAATTTCAACTCATTGCAGCTATAGATTTTTAAGTACATACAGATTGATCTTCATTCGATTCTAATTTTAATTTCAGTATATGAGGCAGCGTCAAAATTACTTGTTGGTTCTCTCTTGGTTTTTGAATTAGGGCGTCCCCTATCGATTTCCACTTTTGGGGGATCTTCTCTTAACCCTAGCT